TGAGAGATTCTTGTGTCATGCGCTTTCTTACACGGGAAAGCTTAATTAATGTAAATGCTGCGTGGGTATGACTGGATTCGGTATTTTAGATCCCAGGAAAAAATTAGTGCCGGCTGCTGGAGTGCAGACGTTTCGCTCACGGGTCTGAGCATCGGTGATAAAATTCCTCGGTCTCTCTTCGGGCGTTTGTTCTCGTCATACATAGCTTGCTGGGCAGTTGATCTAGGGAGTCCATTCATCAGCCTTGTTTTTCTGCCTGCAGTTTCCAAGGCTTGAAGGGAACTTGTTTGCTGACTTGCGGTGTGTTAGTTGTGAGGTGGGACATTCGCTTACCTCTGCCTTGGGCATCCACTGATAATTTTCCCTATTTTCTCCCACAAGATGATGAAACTGCAAGTAGGGCTATTGGCCATGCTAGGCAGGTTCAACTCGCACCCCACACTCTTGTCACTCAGGAGGTTTCTCTCATGCATTATAGGCAATTGGCTTAGTAGGTAATTGAATCAGGCATCTGTGCTCTGTTGGCGTGCACCTTGCCTCCCCACACTTAGTGTCACTGAAGAAACGAAAAATGCATATACCGGTATGGAGGGAAATGGTTTGGGCCCTTTTCTACACCTGCTGTGTGTGTTTCACATAACTGTACGTAGGTACCTGAATGTTAGGTCAACTTTAGTGTGGACTCATCTAGGGAACAAGACTGAAGGGACCCAATGGAAATAAGACAAACAAGTCCTGAGTGATGCATCTACCTTTCTTGGGTTATCTGGGTGGACTAACCTCTGGGTTAAAAAAATCCAACAAATTTATCTTTTGCAGCAGCTCGTTCTGGTTTAGAGAAAAGCCTTTTGTTATTGCCTGAGCTGGGAGTCGCGTAAGTGGTATCTGACACTGGAGTGGTAAGTGGATATCTGACAGCTGGGTGTGTTTTTTAAGCTAGGAATGCAGCTATTCTAGTTGAGAGCATATTGTTTTAGTTTTCAGAGGAAGGCTTTGTTTCCTCTTCATTTTCTAGCCAATTTGAGCAGTATTATTTTTACCATCCTCAGGAGCCGGTTCAATTCAGGAGCTCAGTTTGCAACAACACCAGAATTATGTAGAAATATGTTATTCTCTCCCCCCCCCCCCCCCCCCCCTCCCCCCCCCCCCGAGATTAAATTGCACATAATTAAATCATTGCATGTCAAAAACATATATTTGCCCTCAAAACCATTGTCCCAATTGTATGCTATGATTTCCAAAACAAAATAAAAATCTTATTTACTGTATCCTTTCTGAAATTCTTTCTCTTTCCTTTCTTTTTGGTACGTAATTTTTTTCTGGCTTGTCTGTCTCTAGGGACTGGAAAACCATTTTTAAATGTTTTGGTTGGAGACCAATCAAAGAAATTCAGTATTGGTTTCCATTATTTAGCACTTCCTTAAAGAATAATAATAAATATCGTATATAATATATATCAATATATAAATATATAAATATCTCAATCTATATTATATAAATATATATATATAATATATATATATTATTATATATATATATATATATTATATATATCTATTATAATATATAATATATATAATATATAATATCCTTATATATATATATATATATAAATATAATATTATATATATATTTATTATTATATCTATATATTATCTCTATATATATATATAAATATATAATATCTCTATATACTATATATAATCTATATATATATAAATCATCTATATAATATTATATCATATATATATATTTATATAATATATAATATATATCCTATATATATATATATCTATATATATCATATATATATATATATATATATATATATATATTATAACTATAATATATATATTCTTACTATATATATATATATATATATATAAAGGGAACTCTATTGAGGAGTTTAATCCATTCCCTTACCTTGCTTAGCACTGGTTAGCAGTTTGGCGAGTCATTTGTGTATCACCTCTCGTTTGACTGTCGAGATATGTGAAATGTGCAGAGTCGCTATGACTCCGTTGACTGGAGCGATAGTATCGTTCGGTTGAACCTGCATCGTTGTCTACTGTGATCGTCTGCTATCTATCAGTGGTCTCTCTCGCGATTCTCTTACTACTGTATGAACGCCCGTTCTCAACTGATCGACGTATATAACCGACTAAGATCAGTACAGAGAGCATACTCGTAGCGCATACAAGACACGCGTAGAAGGCGGACTAAAACATCCTTATGTACAGGTCGGGCGGCCAAACCGCTCCCTCTTTGTGTGGTAAACATGCATCTAGTGATGGCCGTTTGAATTTGTCTATTATTATACTTATTATTATGTGTGTGATATCTATGCTATTATTTTTACTTTTATTATTATTGTTATTGTATATTTTGGTATTATACTATTATTATTATACGTAATTAAGGAATATTCTAAGTGGACCCCCGGTTAACGATATTTTTTCACTCCAGAAGTTGTTTCAGGTGCCAGTACTGACCGACTTTGTTCCATAAGCAATATTGTGAATGTTATATTAGATCAGTGTGTGGATCATCTCACCAGAAGACTCAATCGCCAGCTAAGATCCGATGAAGCAGACAAGATTCGTAGAGAGAGATTCGACTCTCACACTCCGTGTACGATTGAATCTATGTTCACACATTGCTTAGGTTGGTAAGTTGCTAGTGTATGTAGAAGGGGTTACGCATAATTGGTAACAGAAAGTATGCTAGTGTAAGCTTAAGAAGTTCCTAGTGTGTATAGTGTCCTTAACTCCTATTGTGTAGTCTTGTGTTATTTTGAAGCAGGTTATGTTGTATATAGCTTTAAGTATAATGTTGTGGAGAGAGTCACGCGTCTGCAATAGAACACAATCAGTCCAGAGACAGACACACGAGTGTGAACACGCGCTGAATCACACACAGAGACACAGCATAGCGCACGAACATGAGACGACACACACAACACGGAACAAGCAGGGCTGTGTAGAGCTGTAGTAACACACGCAAAACCACACATACACAGAGAGTTCACACAGTCGTGGTGAAATTTCTGCCCACGTCTCTGAACCTTGCTCCTTTCCCCCCTTTCCTTATCCTAAGTAGAAGCTATCTCGGACCTTGATCTCACTCTCTTTTCAGGGATGAAAAAACCGGTATTTAATTTCTATAGTCGGACTTGAGTCCTGGAAACTGGGAATACGCGCTCAATGCACTTTTGTGCACTTTTAAAGGAGGGGTTTGGGTATTGGGCAGTTTGGAGCGGATATGTTGGCTTGTATCTTTATATGTGTTATGCTTCCTAGGACTGTTTATTCTGAGCACCTTCTGCAAATAACAGTGATAATGTGCGAGGGGTGGTGAATGTGTTGTAATGATGATGAAAAGTATGTTTGCTTTGTGGGGATTTTCTTTCTTGTTTGGGTCCACCCGCTCTCTCGGTGGGAGACGGCTACCTATATCTCTCTTCCTATCACTCTCTACCGCTCTATATCTCTGTTCCGTGTCTCCATGCAGTATCCTGATAACATTCTCTTAACCTCTCATAGAGACAGACATAGATATCTCATAACCCCTCTAAAAACATGTCTCTGACTATCCTCTCCATAATCATTTGTATTTTTAGTTACACACATAAAATATAAGCTTTAATGTTATGCCTTCTTCCAATAATTGTATAAAAAATGGCAACCCAATTCATGGACTGCATATTGGAATGGACTGTGATATCATTTGTTTACTCTTGAGCAGTCAAGCAAACGAGCATTTCTCCTTTCGTGGAGCTCAAGTTATCTAGGTAACTTTTCGTCATGAAATGTCAAAGTCTTCTCCACTCCTATGCATTCCTACGACTTGTATCCTTCCCTCTGTCTACTGTCACCGCCTATGTCTTCCATTCTACTTCAGTTCGCTCGCGCCAATCCAGTAAATATAACACCCGTAGAATACAACCATAAAAAACCATACGAAAATACCGTAAGGGGTGGCTAATTGCTGAGAAGTGAAGTTTCAGCCTTGTCTTTCCGTGTTATCTTGACTTCCGCGCGCATTGTCTTCCTCGCCTTCCTATCGCTGTTTGTCGTCCGTAACACTAAGAAGCATTTTCCATCAATACATTGCCCAGTCTGCCGACACAACCTTAATCACTCGATTTGGTCACCTCATGTACTAACTCAGATACTGTTGATATGCGTAAGATGCTCCTCTAGATCAGTGCAGAGCCCCTCACCCAGTCGTAGGAACCTCCCTAGAGGTCTGCTCGCTTATGGAAATTTTGCTCGCGTATGGAAGCAAAAAAAATCAACCCTAGATGCTCGTATGTGTCTGAAAAACCTCACGTGGATGCACTCGCAAGTAGAGGTTCCACTGTATTAACAATAAATGCATTTATACAGAAATACTATATAGTAGACCTAGTTTTTATAATTCCCTTCCAGAGCTTGGCCTAAATCTGAAAATGCCGAAAACCACGTACTTATTTCCCCTAAGAACTATGTAAACAATTATGACCATTCAGGGACACTTAAAAATATTACAAAATAATTATATAGGAAAAACTATTCATAGTTTTACATGCATAAAACAAAGAGAGAGTAGAATTAAATGACTAATTTTAATGATACACATTCCAAAGCTGTATTGTAAGGACTCTTTGTTGGTGAATAGTATTTATTTGTCGTCCCGAGGACTACACTCCCAGATCTGCTACCTACACTGCACATACAGCCATAAATATTCCATCGACTTCCCATGCTCACTGTTGCGCTTGTTTGTGTAACATTTCTACAACTACTTTAGATGCCCTTATAAAAAGGGAGAGTACTGAGTAATTCATCCCAAGCATAGTAATATCTGCACTCCATCTCTGCTTCTGTGTCCCGCGCTCTATTACTCAATGGTTTCCTGGGAATGCAATAATACACTTTATTCTGTCGCGCTCGCTGTACCGTGCTATGTAACACACTGTTAATGCAGCTTATCCGTCTACTCCAGATACCTACTTACCAATGATCTTGACCTATAACAGAATATGCTCCGCGCATATAACGTGCTTCATTCGTGGCCGTCACCGTGCTCTGCTCTTATTCCTTCTAACTTACTATGGTTCCGCTAATGGTGTTGTGACGCCCATCAGACCTCTCGAAGGCTAGTGTACGACATGACAATATCTCTCAAATTAGCCTAAGAGTGTAGAGATCGATCTGATATGGTTGCCGCAGTGCGTGATCGTTTGGTAGTATACATAATATTGATCCTATATCTCATACTTTGCATCGCACTTTGTCTCTATGCTCTTTGTAATCCGTGTTACTTTAGCCGCATATCTGATTGCTAAGTGTAATTATCACTGTAAGCCTGGTACATACCCTCTGGAACTAGCTTCTAGATAGCTACTCGCGTTGTCTCTCTGTCGCTACGTCGTGGACCTCGTAGCTAGACTGTGCTGTGCACGCCATAACAGATGTCGATTGTCGAACGCTATCTCTCCTCGTCTGATGCCTCTCCGCAAGTATGTAGTATGTCTGTGCATTTGTTTATAACCTAAGAAAGAATGGTAAAATCGAATGTATATCTACATAGTGCACTACGCGCTTGAAGTAGCTCTATGTTAGGATCATAGTTTAGACGGGTGTCGCTCTCTGGCCTGACTAGTAACCGTTGTGTGTCATGATGATGTGACATCGGAGACTCAGACATCTCCAATCGCGTTGGCTCTGCCCACTCACCCCGGTACCAGTCAGTTCGTCCAGCCACTGAAAGTACTGACATTCACACGGCGGGGCTCAGACATGTGTCATGATTGCGCCGCTGTCATACTTACGTAATGTCGTCATGTCACTTATATTTATCTCGATCTCTCGTCATCCATAGTTCGCTGTCTCTCTGTCAAGCGTGCTAATACAGTCGCGTGTCCTGTACAGTATCAACGACTAGACACTCACTTGCGAGAAGGAGAAGATTGAGAAGCTCAATAGGAGCATACAATGAGATAGAGTAGGTGTATTGAAACATTTGGAGACAGGCAGACGAGCTTCGCGTCGGAGCGAGAGATAGATTTGGACGATCTCGTGGGGTATGGCATGAGGGGTGGGAGGAAGGGGAGGGTAGTCTCGCCACATACTAGAGGAGCAGCTCGCATGTAACCCCAAATCACTACACCTCTACTACCATCACAACCACTGCCCCCTCTACACCATCACTTCCACCCTCTGCCACCATCAACTTCCCTCTCCCCCACCATCACTACCACCCGCTCTGCCACCATCACTACCATGCTCGGCCACCATCACTACCACCTCTGCCCCATCACTCCCACCCTCTGCCTCCATCACTCCCACCCTCTGCCCACATCACTACCACCCTTACCACCATCAGCCACCCTTTACAACCCCATCACTACCCCCTGTACCCTGACGAGAAGAAGGCGCTAGACTGACGACTCGAAGAGGTTGTAGGAGAACGTTGTGTAGTGAGCCTCGTGGTCCTGCGATCATGCGAGAAAGAGAGAGGGGACACTCTAACTGGCAGAACTCGCAGTCGCAAATAGAACTCTGAGTTGGGATGAACGATAAATGGGAAAAAGATTGTGTGTGTGAGGTTGAGTGAGAAAACGAATTCGACAAAACAGGCAAAACGAAAAACGAGGTTCCACTCTGTGTGTTGTGTGTGTGTGTGTGTTGTGTGTGATGTGTGTGTGTGTGTGTGTGGTGTGAGTGTGTGTGTGTGTGTGAGTGTGTGTTGTGTACGTACTCCCTAGGTGTACTCGCCTAAATGTGGATTGAGGGTCGAGACTCAGCTCTGGCCCCGCTCTTACTGATCGCTACTAGCTCCTTCTCCCTCTCTGCTTCTGAGCTTTGTCATACCTCTGCTTAAAACTATGTATGGTTCTACCTCCACTACTTCACTTGCTAGGCTATTCCTTCTGACGACTCTATGACTGAAGAAATACTTGCTAACATCCTGTGACTCGAGCGCGAGTCTTCAGCTTCCAGTTGTGCACTTGTTTTCTGGTCCCCTCTCTGGAACATCCTATCACTGTCCACTTGTTATTCCAACAGTATCTGTATGTCGTTATCATGTCTCCCTGATCCCCTTCTGTCCTCGTGTGTCAGTCCGATTTCCCTCACCCTTTCTCGTACAAATTCCCTGGAGCTTGGGATTAGCTGTTGCAAACCTTTGTACTTTCTCTTACTTCTTGACTTGTTGTGTGTGTGTGCATGTGTGTGGTGTCCATACGTACATACATACATTCCAGTACATATTTTTCAACAGGATGGCATCTCTAAGTCGGGAAAAATAATATGAAGCCACTATTCATGTACTGAACAACATGAAGGGGCACACTGTATAATCATTATCTTGATGTGGGAGTGTTCGTTGGTCTGTAAGCAACGTACAATGCCTTCGCAGATCTTCATGACAGTATTTAAGCAACCATGGGGTTGCTAGAGATCTTCTACCACCAAAACGATTATTGGCACCAAGGATCTACATTTATAGAACGAAGAAGGTGATCTGGAACTCTACTTACAGGTGTGTAATTGCCACATAAGTTTCCTCGGGTTGGGTTCTTGGTCCCCCCTCTTTCATTTCGATGCTATTGGTTGAACACTATCTTGTATCTAATTTTTTTTAATATTGTATAAATTTTAGCATCCTAATGGAAGCCTTGCAGGATTGGTTATTCTGTGTATGGCTGTTTGTTTGAATTAAACAGCAACTGTAATTATTTTCAGCAGACCAGCAAAGACATTACTCAGAGCAAACAATAAACATAACTTCTTTAATTACAATGTCAGATCTTTGAGCACAACATTACAATGACCTCACAGCATTACTCAATTCCCTGCCTAACCAGGTATGTTATCCCTCACAACAGAAACCTGGCTAAAGCCTGTGGAGCTAAAGATGTCAATGCCATACCTGGTTACACAGCCATGATTGTAGGACCAGAACAGCAAAGCGGGATGGAAACACTATAGACTATTCAGATCATTGAATGTCTCCAATAATTCTTGCACAAGGGAAGAAATGAGATATGTATTATAGCTAATTTAAATCAACGACCAGCAAAAACCCCTCACAATGATAAACATCTACAGCGTACACAGTCAAACATTAACCGTTTAGTGAAAAATTAGGAACATGCTACTGATGCCACATATGACAAAGACCACTTGCTGCTACTCACAGGAGGATTTCAACATAAAATTCTAATACATGACAGGACCCACACGAACTGAATTCACAAACACTATGAGCAACTGCTTGTTGCTACCAACAATAACAGAACGTAACAAGAATCTCTGAGACTAGTATCTCTTATTAGACCACATTGGACTAACACCATATCCTCTTTAAAATCAGGCATAATTACAGACAACACCCACACCACTACCCTCCTTTTTCATAACCAACCTGGGTATAAATTGCCCCAAGTACCCCTACTAAGTTACCTTCAGCTACATAACAAGGAAGCTGTTTATACTTTATTCCAGCACTGAATAACATCGACTGGCATACTGAGCTTGGAAAACTATACAGATGAGGCGACGCCGGAGGAGCAGGTCGTAGGGTACCATCAGTCTATAAGCCATGTCTACGGCCCTCATTGCTGTACATTTCTACAAGATAGATGGACTGAACACATTGATTCGAGGCTGAGGGACTGATTACCTCAAATTCTCCCTCTCCTTTACACCTTTCTGTTGTATTGGGAACTGATAAAGCCACTGTGTGGCGAAACATTTCCTAAATAAAGTTTCCCATATTTTGCATAAGTGTCTCAATCTTCAACTTGTCAATTTTCAAAACCCTTCATCACAACTGTCAGACACTGTGTCCTCATGGGATCTTGATTCAAAATTCTTCAAACTTGTCCATCCCTTTAGACGAAGACCTACTTCGACTAGTGGATGGTACCACTATGACCCCGCCTCTTCCTGCTATGCCTCACCTGACAGTATATAAGCCACATCTACGGCCCTATGCGGTACTTTCTACAAGATTTATGACTGAACACCTCGACTCGAGGCTGAGGGATTGATTTACCTCAAACTTCTCTCTCGTACACTGTTTGTTTGGATGAAGAAGCCCTGTCTGGTGAAATGTTTCTAAATAAAATTCCCATATTTTGCAAAGTGTTGGTAAATATTTGTATAGAGTGCCCTGTAGGCTTTAAATACTGGGACTGAAGAGTTCCTTCAGATAAGCACATGATGCCATTAAAAAGGGCTGATCTTTGAAGACGTAGAGGTAGTTTCCCTAGAGGGTCAACTGACTACCTTATTCTGTGGTTCTGTAAAAAACCCTCCAGGTTTAGTGCTCCCCCCTGTTCCATGCATATAACAGTTAATTGCATTAATAATGGCAGGTGATATAAATGATGGGTGTACACTTTGTAAATGGAATAAAGAACAAAAAGGGCACAATATTCGGAACAATATACAGATATAATGCCCATAGGAGAGAGAAGCTTATGGTGACATTTTGGTCCGGCTTGGGCCCTTAACTAGTCTCTGCCCTCCTGCTCAGTTACGTAATTGGCTCCCTTTCTTCATGCTGCACTTTAAAGGAGGAGTTTGGGATATTAGCAGTTTGGAGGGTATATTGTGTATCTTTATACGTATATGCTTCTAAACTGTTGTATTCTGAGCACCTCTGCAAAAACAGTGATTATGTGTGAGTGTGGTGAAAGTGTTGAATGATGATGAAAGCATTTTCTTTTTGGGGATTTTCTTTCTTTTTTTGGGTCACCCTGCCTCGGTGGGAGACGGCCGACTTGTTGTTGAGAGAAATATATATTACATATATATATATTATTTTTTTACATTTTCTAACAGATTATATTGTGTTGATTAACCAGCCTTGTGTTTTTACAGAGCAAGTAACATCATCCAAATAATCTTGCATATACTCTGAACACATTCAAGAGTGTTGAGAGTTTAAAACACTGAAGAATGCCAGTGTGTCCCAACTTGGTCATCTCGGAGCAGTTAGAAGGACAACCAAATATTTGGAAGTGAAAAATAGTGGGATGGTACATATGTCAGATATTTTTCTATGTGATGTTGTGTATAAGGAAAGTGTTGAGGGTAGTGATCCCTACAGATGGTCTATGCTCGTTGATGTTGATGTTAGTTACAACCGTATCACCCACATTGATGAGTCAGTTGCTTTGGCTCTTAATGTTGAAAAACTTAATATTAGCTCTAATAAATTATCATCAGTGGAATGTCTGACTAAATTACCAAATTTAGTATCCCTTAATCTCTCAAATAATCTCTTCAGTACCTTAGAAGATATGCACACTAAACTTGGTAATGTGGTTCATTTAGATTTGTCACAAAACAGTTTGTCCTCATTAAAAGGACTAAGTAAACTTTACTCATTATCATCACTGAATGTTTCAACCAACAATATCTGTGAAATCTCAGAGGTTAGTCACTTGTCTCGTCTGCCTTGTCTGGAGACCCTTATCCTCACAGGCAATCCTGTTGCAACTATAGTAGATTACCGCACCAAAGTACTAGAGCTCTTTGGGCAGAGGGCATCAGAAATCTGTTTGGATAATGAGAGACCAACTCAAAGAGAGCTGGAGTTTGTTGCAGTGCTGCAGGCCATCAGGGCATCAAGAGAGGGGCGGTTACCCACACTGAGTATATCTAGCCCTCTTCCTATCACCTCAGGCACTCTCTCGTTTGTCCCACCTGACTTAGCCACAGCTGTCAGTGAATCGTCCAGCAACTAATAATCATTTTGAAGCCTTCTTCCTTGAGAAATAATTAATTTTCAATTTAACCCTTTGACTGTCGCGGCCGTATATATATGTCTTACGAGGTTCCATGTTTGACGTATATATACTCATAAATTCTAGCGGCTTCAAATCAAGCAGGAGAAAGCTGGTAGGTCCACATGTGAGAGAATGGGTCTGTGTGGTCAGTGTGCACCGTATAAAAAAATCCTGGAGCACGCAGTGCATAATGAGAAAAAAAAAACTCGGACCGTTTTTTTAATTAAAATGCCGACTTTGTGGTCTATTTTCGTATAGTATTTATGATTGTATTCTCGTTTTCTTGGTCTCATTTGATAGAATGGAAAACATATTATAGAAATAGAGGTGATTTTGATTGATTTTACTATAAAAAGAACCTGGAAATGGAGCTCAAAGTATCGGAAATGTTTGATTTTTGCCAATGTTCAAAAGTAAACAAATGATGGCATTGTCCAATAAATGTCCAACTAGCCATTCTAATATGCAGTCATGAATGGGTTGATGTTATTTATACAATTATTGCAGTATTGCAGTAGTCTGCATAATACTAAGTCTTCTATATTTTGTTTGAATAAAAATTCAAAGTAGAAAGCAAGAGTAATATCAGAGGGGTCTGGAGACATGATTGATGAGCAAAGAAAATGTTATTTTAGAGCCAGGAATGTCTGCATTGTTCATTCTGGACCTTATTTTGAAATTGTCATATTTTTTAATTTTCGTGAAATTGGCCAAATTGCAAATTTCTGACCACATTATTGGGTAGTTGAAATTGGTATATGGGCAGTTTCTTGTACTCAATCGATAGAAAAAATGGAGTTCTAAAGAAATAGCTATGAGTTTGGTCGACTGGAACAGCGGAATTAGCCGAAAATAGGGCTCAAAGTGGGCGAAATTGCCGATTTGTAAATATCGCCGAGGTCGCTAACTTCGCGAGAGCATAATTCCGTCAGTTTTCCATCAAATTTCGTTTTTTTGGTGTCATTTTAATCGGGAAAAGATTCTCTATCATTTCATAAGAAAATTTTTTTTTTTTTTTAAATTTTGTGACACCAGGAGACACCTCAGGATTAGGGGTTGTGACAGTCAAGGGGTTAATAAAATTCCTTAGATTAATCCTTTCAAAGGAGAGATGCTTTTATGCTAGAAAAGGAATCTTAATCCAAACGATTAGAGCCCTCCTTAACCTAAGATAAAACCTAATATCCTCCCATTTCCAAGAGTTGTATGACCCTTCCAAGTTTAGTATTTCCCTATGACTGTAATAAATAATAAACATAAATTACTTTTTTTTATTAGAAAAGTGTTTAATTCTAAGTTTTCATAGAAGTGCTATATGATTTTTGTTTTCTTATGATGACAGTACAGTAAGGCCCCAACTTTTGACATCTCATACTTTCAGTATTGGCACTTTGGAAACAGTTATAGTAAAAATAATAAAAACAATAATAATAATGCAGTAATACAAAAAATAAATTTATTTCTACAAGGTGCATAATTGTTGCAAAATTCGATGACATTAATTGCTTACGAAAGCTGAGTTGAAATCGTACTCTTTGCAGATACAGCGATACCTTGACTTATGAGTTTAATTCATTCTGTGACCCAGCTCATAACTCAGTTTGCTTGTATATCAAATCAATTTTCCTCATTGAAATTAATTGAAATGCTAATAATCCATTCCAGTGGAATTCCTGGCTCTCGGGAGGCAGGAGAAAATACTTCGGTGTAATGCTAACATGAACTCTACGGCTTATTTATCTATCAAAATTGATCTAATATGACATAATAAACAATATAAATAACACAGAAACATGATATATACTCTAGAATGAATAAAATATATCATTATGTGACGAGTGGTGGCGGCCACGCCCAAGGTAAAAATAATTATCGCTCTGACCATATCTTCCCATTTTTGCCCTTCTGAGGTCTTAATATGAGAGAAAATAGAGTGTTTGTGAGGCTAACTGCACTAGATCACTAGTTTCATAAAGAAAACACAGAAACAAAAGCGATTTTCTTGGAATTTTTTTTTTCTCCAAATCAGGAGACCGGCCTACGTTTTGGGTGAATATCTCCGAAGTAAATCAGCATAAATGCCTCGTACCTTCTCCCATAGAAGGCGCAAGGCACGTAGTACATGCTACGCTTGTACTGCCTCGCCTAGTCGACTACACACACACACCTCACTCGTGTTTTTCTATTATTTCATGCTTTAATTCAATGGACATCGTCCTCTTCTTCTCAGCACTGTCCTTTGCACTTACTTTCTTAGGACCCATGGTTAAAAAGAAGAAATTTGGCAAAATAACTGCACAAAACACAAGCACAACACAAGAGAGATGCTTCCACAACATACTCAACCCCTGTCAATTTGGGTTCAGGCCTAATAAAAATACTAATGATGCTATTATCCACATGCTAGAGCATATTTATACAGCAATAGAAAAAAAAGAAGTCCCACTGGGTATCTTCATTGACTTACGTAAAGCTTTCGATACAGTTGACCACGACTTGCTCCACATAAAATTGTCGCACTGTGGTATAAGAGGGCACTCCCTAACTACCTGAAGTCATAACCTCAGCAACAGAAGCCAATGTGTGTACACCAAATGGGGCAAACTCTTCCTCACAGCCAATTACAGTTGGTGTCCCACAGGGAAGTGTCCTAGGCCCTCTTCTCTTTCTCATATACATAAATGACCTACCAAATGCATCGCAACTACTCAAACCCACACTATTTGCAGATGACACTACATACGTCTACTCTCACCCGAGCCCAGTCATGCTAGCCAGTACTGTAAATACCGAATTACAGAAAATATCAACCTGGATGAGGACCAAAAAAATACTCTAAACATTGACAAAACCTACTACATTCAGTTTGGTAACAGAGCTACAGATGTGTCTCTTAACATAATGATAAATGGATCACCTATCACAAAACTCACAGAGGGAAAATTCTTAGGAATCCACCTTGATAATAGACTCAAATTTCAAACACATATACAACAAATTTCCAAAAAAATTTCTAAGACCGTAGGCATACTATCGAAGATACGGTACTATGTTCCACAGTCAGCCCTCCTGGCCCTATATCACTCGCTTATTTAACCCTATCTCACCTATGGAATTTGTACAACAAACCATCTCAGACCACTAATCACCCAACAAAAGGCTGCAGTCAGAATGATAACAAATTCCCACTACAGACAGCACACTCCACCAATATTCAAAACTCTAAACCTACTCACAATACAAAACATCCATACTATTTACTGCACCTACTACATACATATATATACATACATATAGTAGTAGGTTGGTAGACAGCAACCACCCAGGGAGGTACTACCGTCCTGCCAAGTGAGTGTAAAACGAAGCCTGTGATTGTTTTACATGAGGTAGGATTGCTGATGTCTTTTGTCTGTCTCAATAAATATGCAAGATTACAGGCATGTCTTGCTACTTCTACTTACACTTAGGTCACACTACACATACATGTACACATTTATTTATACACACTCATCTGAGTTTTCTTTGATTTTATCTTAATAGTTCTTGGTCTTATTAATTTTCCTTTTATATCCAAGGGGAAGTGGAATAAGAATCTTCCTCCGTAAGCCATGCGTGTTGTAAAAGTTCAACTAAAATGCCGGGAACAATGGGCTAGTAACCCCTTTTCCTGTAAAGATTACTAAAAAGAATAAGAAGAAGAAAATTGTCAAAGTGGGAAGTCTGAATGTGCGTGGATGTTTGTGCAGATGATAAGAAAGAGATGATTGTGGATGTTATGAATAGAGAAGCTGGATGTCCTGGCTTTAAGTGAAACAAAGCTGAAGGGGGTGGGAGAGTTTCAGTGGAGAGGAATAAATGGGATTAGGTCAGGGGTTTCAAATAGATTAGAGCTAAAGAAGGAGTAGCAATAATGTTGAAGGATAAGCTATGGCAGGAAAAAAAGGGACTATAAATGATTAAATTTAAGGGTTATGTGGAGTAAAAAAAGATTTGGGGTGTGAAAAGTGGGGTTTTAAAACGGTAGCACCTGAGAAGGAGAATGAGAGGAAGAGAGAATTTAAATTTTGGGAAAA